AATCTCCATAAGGCTAAATTTCCTCATATTTGAAGATAAATATAAATTGATATCAATGTTATAAGAATGGAATAATTCTTATAAAAGCATCTAGAAGCCAATAGTTATTCTTTAGATAGTAATTGCCCTTCTTCGTTTATTTTCCAAAAGAAACTTATATGCCACTATGAAATTAATCTTCTTAAATAAAACTATCAAGTAACCACTAGCTTAAATTTATACACTAGCTCTTTATTGGATCCAACAAAATGACTTTTTGAACATTCTCAATCTTCCCCTAAATTACATTTCTAGCTTTACCTATTGGAACACTTCTTGCTAGCCAAATTGGATACTTGCACTTTTGTTCTAATGCCTTCATCTATTTGGAATGACCTTTCCTATCCACACTTTCCCTACTGACTCTTATTATGTATAGACATCATTAGGTAGATTATTATATGCATACAAGGCTTGTCTTCTCTATACCATATTCTTCTGAAGTGATGAGCCGTGCGTTGGGCCCTTTATGCTTTCCATTGTGCTAAGTACATAGTGATTTACTTACTTCATCTAAAAGTTTTTAATAAATAAAAGGTAAAATCAACTACAAGGTACCAATGAATCAAGCAAACAAAATATTTAAATGGTAAAATTCATTTTCATTTAAAGTGTTCTTTCTCTCTAGACATTTGGGGAATTTGCAGTGAAGAGAGTTGGTTAAACATTGTTTTTTCTGTATTTACCTGATTTTCTTTTGGTATAAGCATCCTTTTTTGTAGAAAATAATTTGTCTGATTTCTTAATTCTTTGCATTGGTTACCCCATGAATGAAAGAATCAACATTACCATAATTTTAAGAGTGTGCTAAATTATTTACTGGACAATCCTTTTTAGATGTAGCTACCAGTTTGCCAATGTAAAACTTGAGTTTGTTAGTGTTTTTACCACTCTGAGAAAGTCATTAATTACCCACAGACCATGGTGAGAGTAATGGTACCTTGCCAATATTCCTTCCAATGTGGGTAGTTCTGTACTTTCAGTGAAAAGAGACTTTATTCTCAGACCACTTAGTGTAGGATGCTATTTTTGGATTTCCAATTTGTGTTATGACTCTCTAAATACCACACAGTGCCATTCCTCTGTCACTCAAGAAGGCCATTTCAGTCTCCTTCCATTCAATGCCTGTCAATTTCTGCTTCATAATTTCTACTGCATCTTCTATTTTCACTGCCACCACATTTTTTCTTAGTCATTAATTGGTCTCTCTCACCAAGCTTCTTATACTTATACTTCTTATACTTCTTATACCAGGAAAACTGTTTGCCTAGGACATAGATTTTATACCCAGTTGGGTAAGAGAGTGGCACCTAAAGTAATGGTTCAGTCTTCATTCCTGTGCTCCTCTTTACTTTTTCATCTGTAGATGAGTCACTTTATGTCACTGTGCCTCAGTTTCTTCTTGTATAAAATGAAAAAAACAACAAAACCTTCTTCAGAATGTGGAAGGTTTCATGAAAAATTACGTGCACTGTGATGACTACAGTGAATATCACAAAGGAAACAGTCAATAAATATGAGCTTGTGTTATTTATAGTCACAGTGTTGTCCTTTTAGTGATACTTCAATAATTCCTCAAATACTTAAGTATAATTCCCAACCTCTATTAGAAAGACTTTCTTGGTTTAGTCTTGGTTAATCTTTCTAATCATCTCTTACTTCTAACCAAAATTGAAAACTACTTTCAAAAATAGTTTGTGTATTACTAATTCCACTTTGTGAGGATTCTTTCCATGGATTGTTAGTTGTTTCCTTTCTTTTTCACCTTTTAAAATATCACTGTTCACTTAAGTTCCAGATTCCTTTTTATATGAAATATTTTGTGATTATTTTAGTCTGTATTTTTTCTCCCTTAAACTTGGACATATATCACCAGCATCACTCATAGAGATCATTGGTTAGAAACAAATTTATGGGACTATTTAAACCATAAAGTCTTTTCCACCTCACTGTCAAATATTTCAATCCTCAACTCCCTATAAGAGAGCAAAGGAACTGTAACTTTTCTTTTAATTCTCCTGTAATAGGAAGACTGGCCCAGGTTATGTAACTGAAATTTAAAAAGTTGAAATTGTTGTTTGTTTTAGTCAAATGGATTTTCTATAACCAAAATATACCGTCATTTTTTATTGAAAAATTTATCCTTAGAACTTACTGATTTGCTGTGGCACATGAAAATATTTAGTTTTTGATAAAACCAGGAGAAATAAGAATAAAATATGTGTTAAATGATTTGACAATTTTAATCTATATCTTGACATTTTATCAGAGAATAAATCTTCCTTGTACAATACCAGAAGGATGTGTATATAAAATTAATTGAAAATATTTCTTATTTCATTAAAATTCACCATTCAAGAGTTTAAATAAAATATGATTACCTCAAACTTCAATGAAAGAATAAGCTTATTATAACTATAATTCAAGAATCTGTAGTTGTTGATCAATTCTGTGAAAATCAATACAAATTTGAGAAAATAGTTGAAATTGTGGCCAGCAAATCTAAACAAAGTATGTTACCATCTAATTTTTTTAACATCCATAAGCTAAAAATGCACAACTTAATTAACATAAATATACGAAATAGAAACATGTCATAAATGCCAATCAGCTTCTTGAGAACACTGATTACCTAAGCATACATACTTAACTCCATAAAATTAAGAGTTTCAAATTCAACATTAACAAGGATGACTTGATTCTGAAAGCAAATTATGCTATAATTTTATATGTGTGCAAGTGGGCATGTGTCCTATTACTGCCTATTTTCACATTCAGTAAAAATATACTGTATAGAAATCCACGACACAGATAAGTATTGTTTTATATAGATCTCACTAACATATAGTGGGCTATTTAGATTTGAAATAAATTGATTACATTAAACCTTAGATTCATTCATATTTATAATTTTTTTTTCCTCCAAGCTGCTCTAAAATATAGAGCATAATCTAAGGAAAGAAAATTTAATTTATTTTTTAATTTGCATTGGGATTTACATAATTTCTTTCCTCAATTTATTTTGAATTTAATCATTTTCCAAACATTAAAAAGGTGTAAACACATACACACAAATATGATTATGCAATGTAACAGAAAATGCTGCTATTGCAAACTAGAGGGATTTGAATTACTTTCTACTAAACAATTTTATTTTGGTCTGTACTCCCCACTCCCTGCTGGACAGTAAGTGAGGACTTACTGGGAAACATGGGTAATTTTCAAGTTATGTGGCTACCACTTGAAATAGATTGCTTTAGTGTCTCTTTTAATTTTGAGCTCTTTTACTTTGCTTAGAAGTTTGCTGTATTCACTCTTCTTGTGGTAAGCAGAAAGTTGATAATATTAGTACAGAAAACAGTCAGTCGTATGGTAGTATCTAGCAAAGAAGTGGGAAAGGTAGACTTCAACTCTGTGTTCTCTTACTAATTCAATGATCTTTGCTCCTCAAATCTTTTCATGTTATCTTCACTATGTTTGTAACCGGTCCCTGTGACACTACATCCTCCTAACCACTCTTGTAGTGGTTGTTCCAGGAAACAATTTGGGGTTTAAAGTATTAAGTTCTAAGAGTCTGTGCAAGACAAGAAGAAATTCAATTCATAATGAAAGCAATTACGTTAGCTTCTTACAGTTCACTAATCACGATGAAGAATTCTTTTTTGCTTTTCAATATTTCTTTCAATTATGAGTGGGGGAATAAAGTTCTATTTCTTGGATTTATCTTCCTTATAGCACATCAAAAATAGCAGACCAAATGTTTTATGAGATGATTAGAAAACAATGTTTTAAATTCCAATATCATGAATATACATTATTTTTTAAAAGTAAGACCTTATAGCATTCATTTGGCAAACATGGTTGGCTAGAATTCCAACTACAGCTAGACTTGTGGTTTTAAAAATAACTTGCTAATGCTTTCCTTAATATCAAAAATTATCTTAACTGAAATAAATACTGTGGCTAAATATCTCAGTGATAGCAACTTGGAATTAACAGGAAGAGTGATAATTCAAAAATACTCTTTAAAAAGTAACACTACAGTACATGACCTTGTATTAATATAGAAAATATCCACATAGCCAACTAGTAATACGTTCTACAGATTCCAAGATAATTGCATGTTTGGAGCCACTGTATTTATGAAAAAGAGTTGCTTTAAGTTTAAAAACAATACCCCCAAAGTAAATTGTATTAGTGAGCTTCCTATGTTATCGATGCAAAAGTTGATATACCATTGTAAGCATTTTATAAATAGTACATACATCATGTTTTACTAATCCAGTTTGTTTTAGTACTAGATAATACAATTTTGTCTCCAAGAACACAATTTTAAATTAGAAACTGTTATCTGAGTAACATAAATTTTTTATTCTATAAAATTTAGCAGGAAAATGAGAAATAGTGGAAAGAATATACATTCAGCCAAAATCAAGCCTTCCTTTGTACTCACTAGATGTCAACCTTTTCATGGAAAGACTCAACATTTGACCTTTTCCCATTAAGTACCATCCTAGTTAGCAAATAGGCTTGTGTCTTGAATATTATATAGGTGAGAATTACAAGTCCTAGAGAAAGCACAAACAGGCTGAGACATATAGCACAATCAGTAGTACTCAGGCCTGAAATTCCTACCTGAGTCTTAGCTACTACAATATTCATTCTAAATAATGACTGAAGAATTAGAGGAAATGGAAGTCCACAACGTCTTTTGATAGGTGTCTCACAGAACCAAAGAAAGAGAAGTGCCTGAAAAGCCAATATAATTCATTTGAATATGAACTTTTCTCTGAACCAATGATTCCTTTTACCATGTGGAAATGAATAGACTTCACTATTTTCATTTAGGTCAGAGGCAGTGCAGCTCGTGTTACAACTGAAACAAGAAATACCAAAGATAAACAAAAAAGAGGATGGTGCTGAAAATAAACATGTTCAGCAGCCATTGTGAGCCAACTTACCCAGATGTGCTTTTCATGGGATGGAGGAGGATGGATGGGAAAGAAAAGCACACAAATGTTAATGGATACATTTCAATCCAACAAAAGCCGTGGAATAAAACAAGAGCATCATTTCAGATGTGAGAAAGCTCAAATATGAGAACAACATAGTGCCTCTTATTTTTGGTTTGATTTTTTGCTGGATCATGACACATTCTCACAGTGTCTGAAAGCTTAGGCCGAGGCAATTTTAATAATTGATCAGTAAGTCTGCCTTGAGTATGAGTCACTCTGAAACATGCATGACCACATTTTCCCAGCCTCTAGTACATCTTGAGAGGAAATCTAGGCACCTCAGTAAACAGCATTCTTTACTTCAGGCCACATCTGTGTTAGCTTGTAAAGAGAAACAATAATTTACTGAATGACACTTGGATATTCAGATAGCCTTATAAGCTTACTCTAAAATTCAACCGAAAAGTTCAGCAGACTGCTAGAAAGATAGTAAATTGAAGTAGAGAAAGCACTAGTTTGATTTTAATTTTCCTACAAGGTTTGGTCGAATGTGCTAGCAGCTTCAATTTCATCATGGTCTGGAGCAAGAATAAATTTGTAAAGTCCATTCAGATCCAGACTTTAAATGTTTAATATGTAATAAGCATTGCAATTTCTTTAAATATACATGTACCAGTGATAAGAATTTGAGAAAATGAAAAATCATTTGATCACTTTATTTTTTTCTTTATCTCATTACTTCTTCCTCTTGAACTGAAAAAATAAATATTGTAAGTTCCTCCTAACTGTGCTGCTGTCAGTAGAAACACTCATTTGTTTCAATGGGTGTTTATAAATATTGCTTTAAGAGAAGAAATGAACTGGATGGATTCACAGTCTTACAAGAAATTATGACAAAAGCAACATTGACAAATACAGCTTTTGAAGTACCATCTTACTCCCTGGATGAAGTAGAGGCATTCAGAAAATATGGAAGTCAAATAATTGAACAAAAAGCCATGGAAATATTGCTTTAAATTTTCTATAGAAACAGAATTGACTAATTCATAGAAAAGTAAAACTGTTACTGCAACTACACATAAAATATATTCAATATAATAAAATTTGAATCATAAATTTCTATCTCAAAAATGTGGTAAGTTAGAGCATTTCTTTTTGTATTGTACAACTGTTATAAAGAAAAGTTAGATGTGTAATGGAACACCCTGCACCTGCCTCCTCTGAAGGCATTCATTCAGAGAAACCATGTATGTTTTATTAAATGTGCACTTGGAAAAATGCATAATTTTTGGCCTTAGTTCCACAACACCTGTGGCAAGCTCTTTAAATTTTCATAAAAACAAAATCATAAACACTCATAAAAATTGTCATTACAATGCCCTAAGAAGTTTGTCATATTTTTCACATGATACATGGAAGAGAAATAAAATTAAGACCAGAAAGAGATATTTCTTAGGTGCTTAAAATGTTTTCATATTTGTCAACATACTTGTGAAATCTATGATGAATTTTGAAAACAAAACAAAACAAAACAAAAGGCAACTTAAGAACTTCCCAGTCAAAATGCTAAATGTGTTTAGGAACAGTTGTTACCATGAGCAGAATAATCTCCCTGAACTGGTCAGCTAGTTTATAGGAAATTATTTTCCCATTTGTTGATGAAATTTTCACAAGGTAAAAATATCATTATTCTTCAAATTTTCATGTAGTATTTTAAAATAGGAAACTTACATCATGGAAGTACCTTGAAATATAAAGTGTAAGAGAAATTATGAAAATAAACAGGAAACCTAAATTTAAATGTATTGCTCCAAGGCCTAATATTTTGATTTTATCAATTTGTATAAGTTGTGAGATTTCTCATAGTTCATATGAACTTTCTTCTCTTCTGTAACCAATTAGTTTTAGAGCAATTCTGAGCAATTACCTCCCTTTTTTGATTTGTGTGTTTACTTGAGACAGGTGCTTGCTATGTAGTTCAGGCTGGCCTTGAACTCACTATGTAGCCCAGGCTGGCCTCAAATTCCTGGGAATCCTCAGTCCTCAGTTTCCTGCGTGCTGGGACTACAAGCCTGTGCCAACATACCTGGCAGCCTCACTTTAAAATATTAAGCATTTTAGAGCCAGGGATTTAGCTCAGTGGCACCGCACCTGCCTGGCAAGTGCAAGGTCCCGAGTTCAATTTCCGGTACCAAAAAAAAAAAAAAATTAAACATTCCAACACTTAACTTCCAAAAAATTGTGTTCTGCAAAGACAAACTTCCATAGTCATAGATTTTAGAGATAGATCTTTAATATAAAGATCATATAGGAGGTAATACATGTATTTGCAGATAATTTTCTCCTAAAGGGTGAATTTTTCTTCTTAAAAATTAATGTATTATTTCCCACAAACATTTATTTACCTTAAGATATACCCTCATTCTTTTTCTTTCTCCATTCAAATGTCAAGATTTTAACAGTAAGAGGGATTTTTCTCAAGAATAAATGTTCTTCAGTTCAAGACAAGTGTAAATAACAGGCAAATATGATTTAATTGACGCAGACAAAAACAGGTCATGTTATCATCTAATGAATCAGACAAATTATTGACATGTTTTCTTTGGGAACATTAGTATACATCTTAACAGAACAAGAAGAAATTACACATTGATATATGTCTTATTTCCCATAATGGTGGTCTTAAACTTTTAAATTGTCTCATTTTAATCTGCTATATCTACCAAATGAATGAATCTTCTCTTGCTTATAAAGCAGTATACTTTAGACTTCCGACTTCAGATAAGAAAAAAATTTTACTAAATGAGGTTGTGGAATATAACTGTCTTTTACTTCTTAGGGTTCAAGTTGGTGACTCAGAAATATTTTTTTAAAAAATGTTAACATTGAGACATGAATGAGTGATAACTGGAATAGAAATTGGGAATGAAGAAAGGTTTTCTTTTAATAGATTAAAATTAAGAATGCTGCAATGTTTTATCTGGGAAAACACATGGATGAGAGGAGGTTTTGAATTTATAAAGAACACAGAAGAAGTCAGCATAAAATGATCTGGAAAATACAAAGAGATAATTTTGAGAAAGAAGAGAATTTCTTAGTTTTTGATGGCCTTTCTCCCTCTCCCTCTTTCCTTTCTCTCCTTTTCTGTCTCTCTCCTAAGCTCATCAATAGAAGATGTACATTTGAGACAGTGGACAGTAACAAGATTTGCAGACAGTAAAATGAACACCTGTGGAAAAAAACTACTAGTGTCACTGGGAAGTATGGAAAATCAAATAAAACTAGTCCAAATTTTCCTGCTGTAAATTTTTGCAAAAGCACAGTCTTACTAAATGTGTATGAGGAGAAAGGAAATTCACTGTTGGCTGTGGACATAAATGTAGATGTGACCAAATGAAAGCGGAATAGAGAAATCTAAGAAGTTTTTAGTAATATTGAAACTATAGAATGAAATTTAAGCTTACAAGAGAAGGATATGAAGGATATAATTCACTTGGAAAATATGGAGTTTAAAAAAGAAGATTGCAATATGGCAAATTGAAAAGAGAGAAGATTGTAGTGAGGAAGAAATAGCATGCTTGAATTAGTAAGTTCAGAAGCACACTTAGCGTTGATGATAAGATTCAGACTATGACCAGGGGAATGTGTGATTTGCTGCTGAAAATGACATTGGAAGTGATAAAGTCATCAAATTGAAAGGTTAGGTTGTGACTAGGTGAGCTATTTGTATAGATGATCATCTGAGCATGAGAAAAGCAGGAATACTTTTCTTTGGATATAAGAGCAATGATAAGATACATAAAAACAAATAGCTACATACATTATAGGGATCTAGTAATCCTTATAAATCAAAGAAAATGGTTCAGCTCTCTTGGGTATTATGCATCATTATGCTCCACTAAATAACTTTCTTAAATTAATAATGGCCTCAAGTAACTAAAGTATTTGAAAGTTCTTTATGAGAAGTTTTTTATTACTTAAAATTAACATCAATCCCCAAATTAAAACTTATTGTAAAATTAAATATTTAATTGTATGTCTGTGTATGTTTGTGATATATCTATATATATATCCAAAAGTACATTATTAAATGTAAAATCTTTTTATAGAACTATTTTTTTTACAACTTCAATGCAGGAGGGTAAACATAATTTCCGTTCTTAAAAGTGTGGGGACAAGAACAAAAAGTTTGCTTTATGAATAGTTAATTTTAATGACAATGAGAAGAGCATACATCTTCAAAGACCTTATGAAAAATATTATACAGGGAAAGTGTAAGATCCTATATTGTGGGAAAATATGAGAATTCATCTAGATTAAATCACATTATATTTAAATATACCTTAATTAGTTTTTTCTTCTTTTAGTGAAGGTACCTACTTATCCTTGTTATTAGACACTGTCTCAAAAATTTTACTGAAATGAGTATTTTAGATTGATTCTAGCATACCCTTAAATTTTCTATATGCCTGTTTTCTAGTGAATATTACTATTATTACATAAAACATCAAGGTACTACATTGGCTAATTATGTTAGAAAAAGGTAATTTTGCAGCACAGCTACATCCCATGTTTTGAAGTTATTCTCCTATCCCAATCCACTCTTAAGAAAGATGTGTATTTTGAATATAGTCATTCCTCATTTTGAAATATGAGGGGGGTCACAGGTAAAAAACCTATTTTCTCTGAGAAAAAAAACACTATTCTTTTCAGAACACAAAGAAAAAGAAGGATTATTTATTCACTCCCTCTATATGCCATTAAAAATAATACAGTTTGTTCAAAATCCAGGTTGAGGTTGGTCTACACGTTCTTTAAATCACGGCCCTTCTTCAGTTACTAAATAATCCAGAGGACCACTGGGCTGAGAGCTACACTTTTGTATACCACAGTGCCACAGTGCCTATGCTTTTTCATGTTTGAAAGAAAAAAATAGCAGCTGGTACCTCAAAGGCCTTAGGAGAAAATGCATGTCAATTGCATAGAATAGTGTCTTTCAATTATGTAATTGCTCC